GAAATATCACGTTGGTCATTGCTAAAATATCTTCTAAACGAGGAGGTCCCATCCGACGACTGAAACGTGTGAAGGACCGTAGCGACAAATCCTGGACGCCATACGCCACGCAAGCCTCTTCACGTAATACCATGAGCCCTCTCTCTTCCTGATCACTAGAAAGGAAAAGTGCTGAACAGCTCGTCGTCCCCTACCTGACAGCGTAAGTCCAGAGTTAGCGAAAGTCTGAACTGAGCTAGCGCGGTTGATAAGGCGTGGTTGCGCGCAGTGCATGCCTGGGTCGTGCGTTTTGTGAGCACAGGTAGGCGGACACGGTAGAAAACAACTGTTTTATCGCCGACGTGGCTCGCGCATCCGGCACGAGTACGGCGAACAGAGATGCTTCGCGACACGGGGGTGCCCGGTCACGTCGTGTTAAACGGCGCGCCACTCTCGCGCGCGGCCCATAAACGGCCGGCCACGGCACGGCGATTCCGTGTGTCAGGCCTGTCAGCCTGGATGGGGGGGGGGGGGGGTCATTCATCGGCAGGGCCCGGGCCCTGCGCATCATGAAAGGGTGGGGGTGAGGTGCTCGACCCGGCGGGTGCGCCGGCCGACCTCCCGTGGGCAGTCGCGCGTCCGTGCAGGGTCGTTGGCCTTGAGGTCTCCCTCCCGCGGCCTTTCCGGGCCGGCCTTGAGTCGGCGGCACGCTTTGGTCGCGCCCGCTTCGCCCCTGGGCCAGTGTCACTGCCGCCGTCGCGACAAGATGCGCTCGTCACGGCTCATTTCGCTGACACCTTTGGCGCGTGCTCCGCTTGACTGGAGGGAAGCGAGCGCTAGAAAGACTGGGGTGTATTTAGTCACGCATAATCGGAGTAGTTAGCTCAGTTAATGAAGATGTCCGTAACCAGGCGGCTATATATATATATAAGTACAGCCAATCAGATCTACCGGTAAGGCGCACAAATCTTGTCTCGTATCATGCTGGTTGAAGGATTAACTTACGAACCGAGTCGGCTGCGCGTTTGTGGAAGACAAACGCAGCCACTTTCATACGTTGGATTCAGCGGTTCTCACTCGCGCATGGACAGGGTGAACGCAGTACGTGTTACGGGAACTGCGAAGCCAGCACTGGCACGATAGAACGATGAAAGAGGTCGGCAACTTACCAACTCGAGGCGCGTTTCCACGAACCCAAATGGGAGGCATGGACAGCTCCACGCAGATTAATGACCAGGGATACGGGGCGGCGCTTGTATAACTCGCGCGCATCTTTCACGAGAAGCTTAGAACGCGGTTATTGGCAGACGTGCCTGTCCTTGTTCGCGCAGCTCTGTCAGGTGCTGCTCTCTGGGTCGGCCGTGACCTGCTGGCGCGTGAACCAAGCGCATTTGTTCTATACCATGGAAGCAAGTATACATACATCCCAACACAACTGCTTGTTTCGAGTGGCCGCACTGTGAACGATGGTAATGTATTTTTAACTTAAAATGCAATGCAAAACTGTGGTCTGATGCATGAACCCGTCTTACTTCTGGAGAAGTCACCTTGCGTTACGACCACATCTTGGACCCATTTAGCGCAATGCTCCCTTCTAGTTCTTTGCGTTCTGTATGAGGAATGATGCGCAACAAATCTGAGAACTGGTTAAGTTATGTGGATCGTTACCGCAAAGACGGCGACAGTGTTGTCTTCGTTGCGTTCTCTCCGGCAATCGTGAGGAATGTCGTCGAGTCGTGTGTTGCGTTATCCGGCGCTCCGAATTCGTGCAGTCTGAAACCGTTGATCTTTATTCGATGTTTGCAGCGCAGATAACAATGACGACAGAACAAAAGCACACACAACGTCGTGTGTGTGTGTGTGTGTGTGTGTGTGTGTGTGTGTGTGTGTGTCTATTCTGTCATCCTTGTCCCTTGAGCTCAGAAACATCGAAAACGCTGCATCAGCTAGCCGAACTCTCATCCTTGCTCTCTTTCTTGCTACATCAGCACCTTTGATAGCGCTCTCAGTAATGCTAAAAAGGTGGTTGATTTTCTCTTGAGTGACAGTTAGCCACGCCTTCGAACAATGAGGTCAAAGGCCAAGAACGCCGCGGCAAGTGTCCCTCAAAACGAAAATGTATGCCTGCGCTAGCTATAGTTTCGCGTGCAGGCTCTGTCCTCGTCTTCGAATACCTAGCTCTGGCGCTCAGTTCGTCTCGGAACAGTATTGCCAGCTATAGGCGTGTCATTTCATGGGACTGCATTACGAGACGATCACTTTCGGCAATCGCTTTGCGTGACATAGTCTCGCGTGCCCACTGACTGAAATGACTACTTCAGTCAGGAGCCAACTGAACTAGTTATCGCCAGGTAAAGAGGTCATAAATGAGCCACTTCGGCGCAAAGTAGCCGCCAACGGCAACTTCTGCGCAGGGACCATGAAATCGGTGGTTAAATGATGCCGTACTGCTGTTTTCAAACTATACCCCTTTTTGTTGTGAACTGTCCTTTTCGTTTCCCATCATTTGAAGATTGTGACTGATCTGATCGTGCGTGCGTGCGGTCCACTGCTACTCAACAAGCTGTGTAGGGCTTTTCGTGCGGACAGAAAGTGTTCCTCTAGCTACAGAGGCGATCACATAATAATTCAGTGTATCACACTCTTTTTCCTTGGGAGATAAGCTGGGCTTGCTCATATATTCTTGAACTTACCTGGGCTACGCTTTTCTCTTCCTTCGTGCCTTATGCATCCAACTATATCTTTTGGGGAATTTACGGGACTGTTAGGCTTTCGCCACTTAATCGAGCAGAACGCCACGGCGCCTGCAGCCGAGCTTTCCTCTGGTTAAAGTGGCTGACTGGGCTAGTTGGTTTAGCAATTTCATTGACAAGAAGGTTGTTATTATACCCGAGTGAACAGAAAAATACAGTGAAAAATGACAGATTTACAGATACGAAATATCGTCAACAATCGGAGAGCCTGCTGCGCCGACCCTCGCACCTCAAACAATTTAACTCCCTTTCTGGCAGAGCAACTGGTGGCTTGCTTACGTACGTGCTCCTTTCAAGCGCCATCTGAGCAGCATCATAGGTTCTACGCTCGTGGTCTTCTTTTGTCTTGCCGAGAACTGTTGTCTTTTCGAACAGCGGAGTGCACGTGCTCGCGCGTTGCGCCAGGAAGCCATCTTTGCCATCACGAACATTACTGGCGTGTTCCCATAAGTGTTCATTCACACATCTGCCCGTCTAGCCCACGTATAACATGTAAGCAAGCCATCAGTGCCTCTGTCAGAAAGATAGCTATGTTTTTGAGGTGCGAGGCTCGGCGCAGCAGTGATTGTTGATGATATTTCGTATCTTATTAAATGTCATTTTTTTTTCGCTATTGTTTTTCTCTTCACTCGGGTATAATAACACCCTTCTTGTCAATAAAAATTTAGTTGGAAGGCAGCGGTTATCCCGCCCTTTTCCGTCCACCGTGTATTTCTTTTTTTTTTTTTTTTCGCGCTGTCATACCTCAAGTTTCCTCTGGTGCATTCTATTTTTCTTGTCCAACCTTATTTAGTATAGCGCGCTGACAAAACGGTCTGATGCGTATCTCATTCTTCGCTCGGAGTGAGAGCTTTCGGAGCCAATCTTTCATCTGGGCTGCGCCGTTCGCTGCACGCCTATCGGCCCATCCCGCTTCCGCCGCGGGGCTCGGCCGCCGTGCCTTGGGCTCGTCAGTGTTTCCCCTGGTCGTTCTTGTGATCTAGAACGTGCCCTTCGCGAGCGAGTCTCCTAATTGGCCAAGGACGCGCTCTTCCTTTCAAGTCCCCCCCCCCCCCTTCTACCCTTTCCGGCCACATTCCTCGCGCGTCTACGCCGCCCAGATGTGTATATGTCATATCAGCGTCTATTAGGAGGCGCTGCAGTCGTATCAACCGTTTTCTCAACGATACGCGCTCTGAAATGCAGTCGGTGACAGTGTTTGTCGTTCAGATGTTATTTGCGCTGTTTCCCTATTGTTTATTAACTGTGACCGAACCAACAGCACGAACGGCTAGCTTTTTTTGTTGCTCTTGGCCACTTTATTTGTAGCGCCTGGTTTCACTCTCGCAGGAGCATGTTCGTGCAATAGAGAAACGCATTGCGAGTGAGACATGACTTAGTAACAGATCCCGGAGCATGTGCCTTACGGGTCGAATGGTGACAGCGGACGTTCGCATGAACACCGCCTGAGCCGATTGAGTCGCAAATTTGACTGGTCGTGCCCCACGTGATTGGTCACGATGTATTGTTTGGCCAGTCTGTTATAGCAGCAAACGGCGCCATGCAGAACGCAACAAATGCATCTCCCCCATCTTTCACCTCGTGAATATTAAGGTAGAAGGGGTGCGCCACACGTAAATAAACAAGTTAAATTTGTGCACGCATACACGTTAAATCTATAGTCTACTAAGTATATGCGTGGAACGGTTTATGTATCCACCCTTGCATGTCATGAAGGTGGTCATATCTCTCTCTCTCTCTCTCTCTCTCTCTCTCTTTATATATATATATATATATATATATATATATATATATAACTTACACTGAAACCTCCGTCTTTACTGTTTTTTTTTTCTCATACTTTTTCACTTTTTTTTTTTACTTGACGTGTGGGTGATCCATACGCATTGAAGAGACCCCACGCATAAGCTTGCTCACAGCTCAGTTTGTCGCGTGTACCTGCGAAAGTATTCAACATCAACCGAAACATTGCCTAACAATAATTTAAAAGGAAGTGACGCGGGAAATAGTTCTGAGCTCCTGAAGAAAAAAAAACATACATGTATGCATAGCATACGTTGATGGTAATTATAATTCGTATAAGCTTTCCTCTGCGCTACCGTTCTGCATACTCTCCGAATTCCGCCATAACATCCCATCCATCACATTTCAGCTCCTTATATATACTTTATTAGTTGACGTGGTAGCTGCGGCCTCTTCTATTGGTTCAAAGTGCGCAGTCCTTCATGTTTTCTGGTAATTATAGCGTTTCAATTCTTTGTTTTGCAGGTTAGCGCCGCGGCGCGGAAACAGGCTCAAAGATGAGAGCGGTGGTGACCTTGGTGATACTCTGCGTCATGGTAGGTGTCTGTTTACATTTTCTACAGGCAGCCGATGAGGAAAGCCCCCCGCATAAAATTGATCGTGCACGCGTCGTTGAAATTGGGCGATAAATACGATTGCTCAAAACTCCCACGCCCGACGTTTCGGTGTTTCTTTTTGCCCTAGTCCTTTGCGTGCGTCGCGAAACTGTTTACCTTCGCAACGCGTCTCATCGTGCAGTACAGCTCGCTGCGGGAGAAGCGCAAAAGAAGGGGCGAAGTGCGCAAATGAATACCGCTGGGCGGGGAACCGCTTTCACTCGGGACTTTGGTTGGCTGCAGCCAAGCACTGCGAGAAAACAAATAAAAGCGGCCCGGTAGGCTGCACTACGGGAAAACACCATGGGCAATACGATGCCGCCGAGGCCGGAGTTTCCTCTAATGCGACACCGTCTAGACGATTGTACACACACACACACACATGAGCGGCGGAAAAAAGTACCTTATAAACGGCCCTTAATAGCAGAAAGAGCCGATTGATGTGTGCGGTTTCACGTCCCAAAACCACCGTGTGATTATGAGAGACGCCGTAGTGAAAGGCTCCGGAAATTTTGACCACCTGGGGTTCCTTAACGTGCACCCAAATCTGAGCACACGGGCCTACCACATTTCCGCCCCCATCGCAAATGCATCCGCGGGTCAGCACCTTGACCACTAGACCACCGCGGCGGGGCGATAGAGCTGCTCCAGCTGTCGGTTATTTTCGATGAACATTCAGAAAAAGACCGCCAGCTGGGGCTATACGTTGTTTCTGTTCCGGGTTGAATTTGGGACGCGCCCAAGTCTCCAAATCACGTGCTCGCTAATACTTCGAGGTGTGTGAGCACAAGGTCGCCGGTTCGACTCCTGACCGCGGCGACAACAACCGTACAGTATAGATTCTCCGATACGATAAGGTATACGTACGCTCCGTGTAAGAACAAAACAAAACGAGACCGGTCTTCCTTTCCTCGAGCGTTTTTTTTTTTTTTTCTTTTTGCATGTACACTTTTCTTGCGCCGTTCTGTCACAATATCGCCCCCACCTTACCCTTTTTTTGCGTTTGTTTTATTGTCTCTGAAGCAACTGGTGTAAGCTGCGCACTACTATATGCTGTCGCAACTTCGCTGGCGTAGCCGTACGATTGCAATCAACCGCCCCGCGAAGTGCGTGCGTGCGGCGCTCCCTGTCTGCGACAATTCGAAGGCTATCCTGCGAGGGAGCTTGTCCGCGCGAAGAGCGGAATGTTTTAAGCTTACCGACTGTATTACACGCACGCACAATGAGACATACACGGAGCTGCACGCATCGAAGTTCTTCACGCCGCGGAAAGTCTCGAAATGACGCGTATCGCATCGCCGTGATCGGTCTGTATATATATACTCTCCCAAACACGCGGGCCGCGCACATATAGATGGTCTCGCGCATTCTTTGCGTGAGGCGCGCCATGTGCTCAAGGGACGCTGAAGAGAGAAAAAAATATTTTTCTCCTAATAGTGAAGTACAGTTTCACACTACCGAAAACACTGTTACCGCGTGACGACGCTTGGGTAAGGAAAAAACGCGCGAAGAGGAAATGCGCCACCTCGACAATTTCCTCGCCAAACACCGTGACGTCATAGACTTTGACCGTTTCTGCTGGGTCCTGCCAGAGAACATTTATACCAACTGGCGCGAAGTAGTATCTAATCGGCAAAAATGAACTACGTCGTCATCTGTGGGTGCCCTAGACCTAATATATAGGAAGCTTTAGAAACCCGCCGCGGTGGTCTAGTAGTGAAAGTACTCGCCATGCTGACCCGCAGGTCGCGGGATCGAATCCCGCGACCTGCATTTTCGATGGAGGCGAAAGTGCTGTAGGCCCGCGTGCTCAGATTTGGGTGCACGTTAAAGAAACCTCTGGTGGTCAAAATTTCGGGAGCTCTCCACTACGACGTCTCTCATAATTGTATGGTGGTTTTGGAACGTTAAACCCCACATATCAATCAATCAAGGAAGTTTCAGACGTCAATTTTGCGAAAATACAAAAAATGCATATTGAAATTCGTGACGTGCGAATATTTCGGCGCTAAATTATACTTTTCAGCCATCATTTTTTTTTCTGCTAATAACTTATGATAGCGATCTTACATTGGAGTACTCCGAGTGCGGTTGATCATTCCAAATTAGGTCATTATTTCACTTTATAGTGTCCCTTTAAGACGTACTGACTGTGAGGCGAAAACTGAATCTGAATCCGCATTAATTATTATGGAGATCGGCATCGAGTTTCCTCGAATCCTCACTCCAAATTCAATTGAGGTATGACTCTCGCATGAAAAAATACCTTCTTCAAAATAACATTAGCAGCGGTGAGAAGGCCGAGTCTAAATTGGGAGCAGTTTTTGGAGCAGCAAAATTTCAATTTGAGAGCAGAAGAACCTTGCTTTGGAGCAGATAGTTGCATTTAATATTTTGTCCTTGGAGCTTGAAAAGACAAATCTTTAGCAGCATGAATGCAGCAGTGCGTATTTCAATTGGAATCGAAGGTATGAACTGCACTGGCTACCTTTTTACATATCCTGTGGCCTAATCGAGCCCTCGTAACAAACGTGTTCTAAAAAGTTTAAATTTGAAAAAAATATTTTTAAAAAATTTGTGCTGAAAGCTAGGTTCCCAGGAAACATTTTAAAAGAAAAAAACACATCACACTCAAAAAGAAATTCATAAATTCTGATTGCACAATAATCATAGAGACGTAACAGTGGCCCGATCGCTTAAAGAAAAGCCTGGCATGACAGCGTCAATTGTACTACAAGCTTTTAGCAGACAACAAAGGCTCGCTGCACCACCGTTCACGGCCACCTCGAGCGGGACCACCTTCAAAAGTGCTGCGCGGGAACCAAGAAATTTCGCCGCACCGACTATCTCGTAAAGCGCGTGCGTATGGGAATAAGTGAATGGTACTGACAATGCCTCTCCACGCGAGCAACCACGGATTATTAATACGGCTCACGTTGGCCAGTTCTATTTTCTTTAATATTGTAGGTCTTCACTATCGATGCAGAACTCCCGATAATACATCGACTGGCGATTGCCGCCCCCGCCGCTCCACGACTCGCGCAGCGCAGCTAAGAAATTCGTGTCCATGCAAACGAACTGCCGAATGTACGGTGTCAATTTTTATGAAAGGCAACACGGCAACGCGTGGCCTGCGCGCTCCGGCGGCTGCTGGCAGCGCGTTCAAGCGGAAGCGAGAACAACCAGTCTCCTTTTGCGTCATCTCGCGGCGGGCAAAACAAAACCATTCGTTGCTGATATAGAATGACAAGATTGAAACCCCTTCAAGGAAATGCCGGCGCTCGCGTGAAGGGGGAAGGAGTCGCAATCTTGCAGCTTGTTCTATATCAGAAACGAATGGTTGTTTTCTTCGCCGCGAGATGACGCAAAAGGAGACTGTGGTTGTTCTCGCCCCCGCTTGAACGCGCTGCCAGCAGCCGCCGGAGCGCGCAGGCCACGCGTTGCCGTGTTGCCTTTCATAAAAACTGACGCTGTACAGAGGCTGCTTTTATTTCAAGAAGCAAAGAAAACGAATTTCGCCAGTCGCAGTGCGGAAGGGCCGCCGACTGGAACATCGATCGAACCGTAAAGCAAAGCCTCAAAGCTCGTGTAGCCCAGAGCCGGTACGCTTGTCGCTAGCTTTGATTACAAAACGGAGCAGTGGCAAATCGTCGTTCATCTGTGCCACGCGATCGCCCATGCGTCATTAGTCGCGAATAAAGCGCCGAGGTACCCGTTAATATCGTTTAAAATGGTTTGAACGTGCGTTCTGTCACCGCAGCTTCGCGAATAACCAAGTGTTTCTCATACCTCCCGACACCGATGTGCGGATTTCGCGTGCGATGGCTTTTTTTAAATGCCAAATACAATGAGAACTCGATTGTCTAAATAAATTAGTAGCTAAAGGGCGTAAACCGGGAATGGTATGCACGAATTCTGTCGCTCACGGAACGCGTTGTGCCCGTGCCAGAGCATCCAGGAGACGCGTCGAATGCATGGGAAGACTCCACGTCTACAGTTACTCGCTCACTGCAAACGCGCACGCGTAGGTGACCGCACGCAGCAGCGTCGACATGAATCCCGCAGCGACCGGAGGAACGCGCTACGAACAATGAGGAAACCTGACACTCAACCCTTGCCACCCGACTCGATGGTTCTCGCTAGGCGACAGTGGCAGCAGGACACACAGCCTAGCTAGTAGAAGCAGCACGCTCGATGCACGGCAGCACCTTTTTGCGGGGTCACGCATATTTCGAACAGTTTAGAAAAGATCATGGCGGCACCACGGGAGCATTCGTCATCATAAAGCTGCAAGGCAGAAAAAAATAAGAAAAATAACACGCTTGGGTGCGTCCTATTATAGTCAGCTCGGCCTTTTTTCCTCCAAGCTGACGTTGGCATCCAAATTCTAGCTTTCGGACTGTTTTAGAGCAGTTCGGTCCAATTTTCGCGATTTTTAGGCTTTTAGAGCAGCTTGGCGCAAAACACGGAAGTAAATATATAAAAAATGTGCAATATGCGCAGCTGTCTCATCCCTGCATTAGCTGACATATTGGTCATGCCCATCTGCCCCCACCCCCTCTCATTCCGCTCCAACCTTCTTCAACTGCCCTGTCCCTTGCGGGACTGCATTTGTTAACTACAGCCCGCCGCTGACTGGAGTTAGTTCAAGACCCCTAGTCGATGTACCGCCACGGGAACAGAGGCATTCCCACGTCTATGATGTTCTTCATGTATAACGCGCGCAGCAGCACATATCTTTATCCTGCAGACGAATTTCATGGCAGTACAAAAAAAGGTAGAGCAGAACAAGAAAAGGAAAAGAATGAGCATGCGTCTCCAATTAGAGGCACAGTTTGTACTGATCCCAAGTGGCATTGTGAACGCGTAAGCACATAAGATACTCCGAGTTGTATGCATGAGTTTCAGTGTCGGTGCAGAATAAAACTAAATAGCTGGTCGTCAGCTGCGAATATTAAACTGCTCAGGGCAAAAATTTGAAGAACTCGCACAGAAAAGTTGTGCGCTCAGCTGTTTAACAATAGAATACCAACTATCCCAATGCCACACTACTGTGAATAAATTTTGGTTTCAAGTGAGCGCTCGTTTCTCTCGCATCTTGCCTGCTCACTCGCTCGTATATCGTCTCCAGTTAGCATTCATCCCGATGCTCGAGCATCGACACGCAGCGTGAAGAACATCGATCGTCGCACGAATGTTGCGACGGTGTCACGTGGAACATTCCTGGAGAATTGTGCAAAATGCCTTCCCCGACTTGCGTGCTCGGAGTGGACGGCAGGACCTTCGGAACACTCCGCGCCTCCTTTTCTCGCCACTTGCATGCGGCCGCGTAGAGGTAAGCCGACGCGCTTCTCCGATAGCAGCGCCGAAGCCACGTGGGCGCTCGTCGCAGCAGCTCGGGCAGGGTCTCCCACAACGTCGCTGCGCTGCTTTTGTTTATCGACGCTGAAGCGCGCGCAAGGTCGATGGAACATGCGCCGTTTTTGTGTGTGTGTGTGTGTGTGTGTGTGTTTTTTTTTTGTTCCCTATGCGAGTTTTTATTTTCGCCTTGCAGTTCGACGGCCCAAGCGGCGTCGCCGTAAGCTACACCTCGCCAGTTCCGAGTCCCACGAACCACACATGATGGACACGCCTTCATAGACGACGTACCGGGCTCCGAAGTCTCAACTGTTCTCGAAATGTAGCTGTAAACGCGATTCTTCGGCCGCCTTAATAAATCAAAACACGACCCGAGCTATGCACATATCCCATAATGAAAGCTCCTGCAACAACTTTTATACCAACGTGCGCTGGCACGAATTATAGTGCTGCTCTTGTGTGTACGTAGTACGTAGCGTTCTTTGTTCGTACAATCCCTTCAGAATGCAAATACGACATGTAATCAAATTAATCACCCCGCGTACAATCCCTAATCAATAGAGAACTGTTCAACGAACAGCTGTTCTAATATATTTCGGCCAGAGTTCCTGAATAAGATTTGTTTTTATTTTGTTTTGTTTTCGTAACCGATAACTTTGGAAGAGTTGTCGGAGCAGCATCTTCGGCCCTCATGTTCTTAACATATTGACAATAGTGCACAGCCAGGCTAACAATATGTGATGCCGCGAGATCGGACAGAACTGGTGCTGTTCGCTGACCCTCCTTGTCACAAAGATTGATCCACAGTCTTGACAGTACAATGCCGCGCTGCTTGTCTTTTCACTTCACGTTCTCCGTTCTGATTTGCGCGGTTTAACGTCCCAAACCCACCGTATAATTATGAGAGACGCCGTAGTGGAGGGCTCCGGAAATTTCGACCACTTAGGGTTCTTTAACGTGCACCCAAATCTGAGCACACCGGCCTACAGCATTCTGCGTTATCACGTTCTAAGAAAAAAACTGTCGTGGACAAACCGACGTCACGTAGCCCTTTATTCTGCGCATGCAAATTTAGAAGAACATTGCGAACGAATAAAAAAAAACCACGCTGCATCGCAACAGTTTGTGTCTACCGCCAACACGTCATGTACTAAGAAGCATCGAAGATATTTCTAGAACCAAAAGTTTCTCTTCCCGCGAGAAAACCGGCCGAATTAAAATACAGATGGCGACCCTCCTTGACGTTGCAGCACCAACTTGCTTTAACTGCGGCTTACATAATTGTCTATATAGTGACAAAAATACATCGCATTGTGTTCGAAGGGAGGCATGGACTTCGCTCGGGAAGTTTCGGGAAACGTGACGACGCACTGGCATTCGGTTGCTGTAGTTTCGGCGCGAAACTGCAACTTCGAGCTTCCGTTTCTCTTCCACGGGGAACCTTCAATACCATGCCCAACATAGACATCGATCAGTTATTCAGTGGGAATACTGTTGTGAATATCTTCGTGTTTTCGTCGTTGTCCACGGCCCCTAAACCACCCGGGGGTTAAAATTCAATTGTCATAGACGCGTCTGACAATAAACAACATGCCCTCGCTCGTTCCGCTTTATTCTTCGCCGGCGCGGTGGCTACGTTGCTCGGCTGCTGAGGTCGCTGGTTCGATCCCGGTCGCATTTCGACGAAGGCGAAACGGTAGAGAATGATTGATTAGTGGAGTTTATTGGCGCAAGGGCCAGATGTGGCCAAAGAGCGCCAGAGCGATGATAATGAACTGTGCGATGTGCAATGTAGATAAAACAGATGTGACGTGGCTGTAAATGGGCCTAAAAAAACAGTCGCTATAGGTGCGTAAAAATATATACATAGTAAAATTATGGCAATGACAAATGATGTGTGCTATGGAGACATAAAATGGTTTAAAAGTGATATGTATGTGAAATAAAAACGGTAGAGACCCGTGTATACTGTGTGATGTCAGCGCACGTTAAAAAAAACACCAGAGGGTCCAACTGCAGCGTCTCGTAATCATATGGTGGGTTTGGGACGTAAAACCCCAGATACGTTTGCCTCGCTATGCTCCGGTCGTCCCTTCCCGGTCGAGTGCTCCTCCTCGCTGTGCGAGGCGGAAGAGCAGCGAGTGCACATATCCGACGTGCCTGCGTGCAGACGAATTATTTGTGGAGGACATGAGCAGACAAGAATGGCGTCGCGGCGAACGCTGATGGGCCGAGGATTAGCGAAAGACCCGGAGAGAAGGAATGTTTTTTTTTTTTTAATTTGTGCAGCATGAGCAAATCGTAGCTTAGCCGCATTTGAAATTGTTGCGTGCTTTGAAATGTAAAAAAAATATATGGGGGGAGGTGGGTGTATTGGGGGCCATTTAAGGATCTTGCATCTGTGTCGAATATTATAGAAAATTGTGCATAAATAAATAGGGCCCTGTTCTGAAGCAGTGTTCAGTGTTTCTCTCCCCATGATTTCAGATTGGGTCGGTGTGGACGTTCGTGCTGCCGCACTCCTGCGGCGGTCCGCAAGATTGCGCCCGAGACGAATGTTGCGTTGTCGGTAAGTGCGGTGTCATTGGCACTCGGAGCATGCGTCGGCATGCGAACACGCTATGTCGAACACGCCAGAGCAACCTTTACCTGTAGGTGCGTCAACATAAAAGCACGTCGGTTAAGGGCGACCGTTAAAGGGACACTAAAGTCAAATAACAATTTAGGTCAGAGTCAAAGCTCAATGCATGACATCTTAAACGGAAATATTATAAACAACAGTGGCCTACTTGCCGAGAAATTAAAGTAAATACGCAGTAGCACAAGCGTCGCAGTAGGGCATTTTAAAAATGATCCCTATGGCATAAGAAGGACCACCTACAATTAATCACTATTAATCGATCTAACTGAACCAAATAAAGAACCTTCTGTACATCAAGAGACGCAATAAAATGCTGCTAATTCGTTTCTGCTTTGTCAATAGAAAAAAGAACTGCCGGACGTTGCTATGGGGAATGGCGCGAGTGGTTCAAAAATTAAATTGTCGCGTTTTTACGCCGGACAAGTAGTGCCATCTAGTGGGGCGCAGATGAAACAAAACACGTCTGCGATTTCGAAGCCAGTGGCGGAAAAATTGATCAAATGTCGTTGTTGCTGATGTGGTTCCCGCTGCTTTAGGTCTCCTGCTCCTAGCGCAGTAAAGCCGCATGACGTTGTGCACGGCAACACGGACGTAAATCGGTCCAGCCGGTTCGCTTCTTGAGGCAGGTAACTTGAAGTGCGCCAACCCGATGCGGACCACTAAAACGTGAATTTATTTCTAAATAGGCCCTTCCGTGGCACAAAACTAACACTACCAAGTTTCTGGGCCGCTATTTCAACAATCAATGTCGACCTAATAGTTGCCTTTAGTGTCCCTATAAAGGGACCCTGTAACCCTTTTTAAGCATGGTCAGAAAACGCTGCCGATAGGTCGTCGAGGCTTCCCGCCAACACGCGAGGCAAACATTGTAGCGCCGCACGTGCCCTGTAATCACCAATACATTATCAAAATCGGCTTTGTTAAAAAAAAAAAACGGAAACCGTTTTTTTTTTTTTTAACTGACGGAAGACTCTCAATAAATCATACCTATCAGCCATCGGCTGATTTGAACATGGCGCGCTCGGTCGTTACAGAGATCACCGCGAGAGGCCATCACTTGTCCACGCGTGCGCGCGCGATCACACTCAAGAGGCCGCGCATGAAATGCGCACTCTTGAGCGTGAATGCGCGTTTCATGCGCACTCAAGAGGCCGCGCATGAAATGCGTTATAGCTTGCAGCTATAGCGCATTTGTAGCAGCATTGGTTATCTAGATGCTCAAGCACGTAGTATACTTCCACACTCTAACGAGCGTTCCTTCCAACGCAAAGGCTTTCCGGTGCGTTCGAATCCAATACTACACTCTAAGAAAAGTGCGAGTAAAAAGGGTGTCTTTTTGTCCCACAACAATAATCGTCATCTATATTGCGTTCCATCCTTGCGCTATCGCCCCGCGCCCGGTACATTCCGGTCACGATCGACATGCCCATTATCAGGGTTACTGCATTCTCGATAGGAAAGTGGCCAGCGCCGAGTTTTCAAGAAAGGAAGTGCACGCACGCCTGATGACGATTATTGTTGTGGGACAAAAAGACACCCTTTTCACTCGATATTTTTTAGAGTGTAGTTAAAAAAAATTTCTGAGCGTTTGAAGAGATCAATCTTTTAAAAGAGAACACCACTACCAACCTAAATAATATTTCTTGCTTGACAGAGGAAAAGCAGAGTCGAGGCAACGTGGTCGAGGCGCGGATCCAATTGTTTTTATTATTATTATTATTATTATTATTATTATTATTATTATTATTATTATTATTATTATTTAGGTCGGGATGCTCGCGACTTTTAAAATGCCAGTAAATTCGCGTTTAGTTATACAGCTGGGAAGGGCACTATACTAGCTTGTCACTTGTCAAACCCAGAGAACGGTTACCCCACGTTCTTCCGTGGTACCCTATCCCTGGGTCACCCCCTGCGCACACACATTTCAAAGGGGGAGGGGCCGGCCAGGTGTCAGGATATTCTCCCCCCCCCCCCCCCAGCCCCCTAGTATTTGCACACGTCCGAATCGTACAGATGGTACAGGTAGCAAAATCATTTCTGGGCTCGCAAGCTTCACAAAAAAAAAAAAAAATGCCTTAAAAGTGGTCTCTGCGATTTTGCAGTTCTGAAAGCTGTTGCACCAAGTAATCGCATTCCCTGTCCAAACCTTAAGGGGCGGACGTGGCTTTCGTATCGCGAAAAAATGGCAAAAAAGCTATTTTTTTTAAATCAAGTTTTCAGTTTCTGGAACCCTTTTTCTACACTGATAATACAAAAATATCTACACTGATAACAGCGCAGAAGTGCCTCGCAAAATTCATTTCGCCCTTATAGGTAGCGCAACCTTTTCTGATAGTCTCGAGAAGATGGCGATTTTCAAAAGAAAAAAAAATTATAGCTTCGCAATGGCGCAGCCTGGGAGCCGGCTTCATGGGCTTTGAAAAGAGCATTTCTTTTGTGTTCAAATTTCCCACCTCAGTTAGCTCCTCCCTTTAAAAACAAGCGCACAAAAAGCAAGTGTTTGAAGGTTATTTCGAGCCCCCTGATTTGCTGGGCCCACCATATTATCCCAGCTCGCATCGCCATTGGCCCGATGCTCGCTTTGCGAGATCGTCGTCTGCTGCTTGTGCGTCGCGAGGACAACACTGTCGAAAATCACCACTTCGTGACTTGTTCACGGCTCGACGATCACATAATATATAATTACGCTTTAGTGAGGGGCTGTAAGCGGATGCTTGATCAGATGACTACGAGCGCGGTGCATCATCAGAATCGTCTTTAGGCCTATCTCCGCTGACGGCGAGACGAACTTGGCGGGCAAGAACGACGCGCTAGCGCACTCGTTGCAACGTGCTTCTTCGCAAGCAACAAAACACATCACTCACTAGCTCCTCAGAACTGCGGATGGGCATTTTACGCATCAGCAGCGAACCCCAAAGTCGAGCTCGTCACACCCCCCCCCCCCCCCCCCCACCCACTGCCAAAGATTGCTCGGAACAGCGGCTGGCTAGCATGACGATAGTTATAGCGCGAGAACAAAACGACGACACAGAGAGACGAAGGACACGTAATTTAGAAGTGTGGCAGCTTGGTTGGTATCTCATTTGAAATGGGAAGCATTTCTTTGAGAACTTCGGCGATTTTGAGATTGTCTGTCTATCTATCAGACTTCGAGCTCTCCTGGCTGTTTCGATAATGGTATCGATACCAAAATTGGTATAGCATAACATGACTGTATGACGAGCATAAGTGACTAGTCGTAACATGAACATCCCGACATATTTCATGGCCTTGCTGCTCTTGCAGTAGTTTCGTTCACGTGACATATTGCAAAACTGGTATGGTGTGGCATGACTGCATGACGAACATAAGTGACACACTAACGTGGAAATCAAAACATGCAAGTCATGACAACACGCCACGCTCATGGTGCGCTCGCGGGCGTTTCGCTAGATCCACGTATACCAAATTTGGTATAACGTGACGGGAACAGACGACGAAGATAAATGATACATCCAAACATGATGATAAACATGACATGCATGTCATGCAAGAACATGACATGCCGTGCTCCTAGCCCACTTGCGGCCGTTTCCCTAGATCCACATATACCATATTCTGTATTGCATCACGTGAGTAGACGACGACGATAAATGACAGTTTAAACGTATCATGACATGCATGTCATATAAAGCATGGCTACATGTACGCTCATATAGCGCCATAGGGGCCGTTTTGCTAGCTACACATATACAAAATTTGCCATTGCGTCACGTGAGTCGAAGAAATAGATAAATGACAGTCCAAACACGACAGCATGACATGCGTGTCTTGTAAAACAAGACTACATTCCACACTCGCAGTGCGCTCGCGGCCGTTTCGCTAGCTCCACATATACCAAATTTGGCATCGCGTCCCTTGAGTAGCCAATGAAGGTAAATGACATTCCAAATATGATATCATGACATGCGTGCTATGTAAAACATGACTAAATGTATGCTCGTAGCATGATAGGGGCCGTTTCGCTAGCTCCACATATCTGCATCGCGTCACGTAAGTAGACGACGAAGGTAAAGACAGTCATGTTTATCATGACATGCGTGTAATTAAAACAAGACTACATTCTATGCTCATTGCGCGTTCGCAGCAGTTTCACTAGATCCACATATACCAAATTTGGTACCATGTCACATGAGCAGACGACGAAGGTAAATGACACATTCAAACATGACACTCATGACATTGTGTCATGTATATTAACATGGCCAAATGTACGTTCATAGCGTGATAGCGGCCCTTTCGCTAGCTCCACATATACCAAATTGGGTATCGTGTGACTTGAATAGACGACGAAGGTAAATGACACGTTCAAACATCATAATCGTGACATGGAAGTTATGTACAGCGTGATTTACGTCCGCCTCGTAAGGTTGTGCTGATTTTAAAGTGACATATGAACCTGCCTCACTCGTGCTTACACTGGGATCATCGATTCCCAGTGTATGTGCAATCTGCCTTTTTTTGTCATCGTAGCTACACAATTCGCACATCGTCGCCGAACGCCGCCACCAAGTCCATCACGCGCCGGCTGCATTGTCCATGCGGCCGGACACTTCACGGCCATATGAAGTGCTGTCAATAAGCTTTTATGATGCGATTCGGACGTGCTTGAAGCCGTGCTTGACATCGCCGCAAGCTTCTATGGATGTTCTGAAACAATGAAAGCCTCGTAGATTAGTTTCCGTGATCGGCCGTATGATGATGCGTTTCACGGCTAGAGCGGCAAAAGAGCATCTATGAAGCAGGGACATGAATTTTTTTATGCCCAACTCGCGTCCTTAAATAAATTACTAAAAAATTCCTGTTCCCTCCATTTTACTGCCCATAACTCTTTGTTATTTGGAAAGAAAGCATAGGCTGTCATGGTGCGAGTTATTTTTCTGATGCAATAAACCTCTCTCTATATAAAAAATGTTCAGTGATTATTTGTAACCAAGAAGTACTATGCTAATTCAGCGTAACTATGCTAATTTCAGCTTGAACACAAGAAAAATGTGTAATCATTTCAGTATAGGGCTTTATTCAATTATAATATTTTTTGCCATGCCTATCACCACTCCATACTTTTTCTTCATAGATCAAAAAAAGTTTATAAAAAGAAAAGCAACAAAGGCCCACTGGGCAGAGGCCACATGCCCGAGATGTCAAACATCACAAGAAAAACCTAAGATCACAATTTCTAGTTGTTTTACAGATGTAAACAGAAAGTGAAACTAAATGCAGTTTTCTCAATACTGTTATTTGTTTTTGGCATTATGCTCAGCTCGTCCAGATATCTTGGCAACCACTTCAGATTTTGATTTAGTTTGTTTTGTAACTCTCATTGAACTGTGCTTCATGGGGCTGCAATCTTATTTTTTCATTTTACTCCATGAATAATTTTTCGTAGGGCTTCTTGTTTGTAGAAGTGTGTTCACTACAGTGTCACTGGAGAAAATGTTAACTACAAGTTTTAGTGTTGCCAAAAATTATGTTGAAAACACAGCCCCCTTCAGCATACATTTATTTATTTACATACCCTAAGGACCCGGGAGGGCATTACATAGGGGGGGATTAGGAAGATTTTCAACATGTGCAAAATACATTAAATATTCAGACGCATCATTATATAAAGCTTAAATGGAAAAAAATTGAAAAAAAGAGTACACACAACAGTGGTGATAAGGGTAATAAAAACATATATACAAACTCTGCAGAAGAAAAGGTACGTTAATAAAAATACAATAGGCTCCAGGTAACAAGTGTAGGTGCGAATAACACACACAAAAATATTAAAGTAATTCACATAAACAACACCACCGCATAACTACATTAATCGATCGTGCACATAGTAATTGCCAACTATTTTTGTCATTTTATAAATCCTCCAGCCTCTCGACGAGGTTTGTCTCTCAATAAGTACTTGTGGTATTGCCTCGAAATTTTTATGGAAGCTCTGTGAGGTCATTCTTAGTGTTTGTGCCAATATCCAAACAGAAACAAGTAAGTTCGTTTTCAAAAGTACGCCTTTATTGCTAATGGGGCTTTCAGCGTGCCAAAACCCTGATGCGAGGCACGCTGAATTGGGGGCCCCCCGGATGAAATTTTAACCACCCAGGGTTCTTAAACATCAAAGACATAGGCATAATTTTTTTTTTCCTGGGGGGAGGGGGCACCTCTTTTATCTGAAGTGAAGGGCCGAGCCCTTGCGAATTTTTGTTTATGTTGTAAAGTTGTAAGGGGCCACAAAACATGGCACTTTGTTTCTTTTTTTAAATCCAAACACATCCCATACTTACCGAATTTCAAGACCCCGATCCAGGCGATATCCAAAGCAGAGTGTGAAGGTTGCACAGGAGATAGGCAGCTGCTCTTTTGCGCCAGACCGGAACTTGCAGTAGGGTGATTCCACGAGAGATCGACACGGGTCCAAAGTTGATATTTTAGATTTCCTTTGGCTTCTGGAGGGCAAACAGGCCGATGTCTTCGACCTTGCGGAAGTTTTTTTGATAAGGTATTTTCTTTTTATGCAACATGACATAATCTGAACAAAAAACTCTATCCCGGCTGAAGTAGTCGGCCATCGCCACGCTCCTTGAGGCTCGAATTACTGGGAATGCAACTATGCGTGAAACCAGCAGCACAAAAGTGATCTATCTGTCGTCTGTTCCTATGTCTCTCACCTTCAATGAGAGCAGATGTAAAACAGCGTGCGCAAGTATCCACAGTGCGAATGCAAAACTGAAGTATAGTACGTTAAAATGAATTTCACAATGTTTTTGTCGATAAAATTACGGGAGGCGTAATCTTTGTCCCTACTTTGAACCATAAGATCTAAAGCATTGCTCTACAGATGAATTGCTGTGCGCCGCATCTCTGAGGCAGACGACAGATGACAACTTTTCCTAAAGTGTGTTCTTCAGTCTAATGCGGCAGTCTTCGTGCCCCAAATAATACAAATTTGTTATGAGTCATTTATGAACTCGTTCAACATTCAATTCTCTTACGTGTTGCAAACACATGGCCGTCGCAGCAGCTCCATCTGTGTGTCAGTAATGGAGAGGCATCACATATACCCACTGAGGCCCCACACTTAATGTGAAAAGAATAGGCGGTCCACAATTGTTTCAAACGACTGGCTGTTTTTCCCGAAAAGATTCTACGCGCTTTCATTCAAAGTTATTCGCTTTTTCGTCACAGACTTCTAATTTGACAGTGTATTCCATCAACAGGCACCCGAGACACCATCTTACAATTGTGTAACCAAAATATTCAACAGTGCCTAGCTGGCAAGGGGACCGCTTTAATGGACCCTATCAAAGCCTCGGCCAAAAGTGATAAAGGTTCTACAACCACGCCCTCGAAATATATGCTGGTGCGGCTCCTGCAGTCTAATATGACCAGCAACTTGAATATTTGGGATGTGTATAATATATAACCGGTAGCGCTCAATTTACCTTGTTCAACAGTTCCAACTACTTAATAGAAATGGGCTCAAGACGGGTGAGTTTAGCATTCTTGTGTGTGCCTACAAAATCGAACTTTGCATTCACTGCTGTATGCACAAACATTGACTCAAGGTCTCTATCCACTGCAGGGATGCAGCGCTTCAGTATTCCACACTGCATGAAGCTGGGCCAGATTGGAGAGACCTGCCGACCATACAATGCGCCTCAAAATCGCACGTTCTGGTACCCATACCATGGAGGCACCCTGAAGCAGAACAGCAACACTTACACGCTGTTCTGTCCGTGTGCGGGTGGGTTGCAATGCACAGCAGCCCAGTGCCAGCCAACTACACTGGGAAACCATGTTGGCAATGACCTTGCCAGCATTTATCATGGATACCAGTGATGCCAGAGTGCCGAGTGTCGTGTGTGTTACTCGGGTGTTTGTGCAAGTGTTTGTGCGAATGTTCCCGAAAGTTTGCACTAAATATTTTACAGAGTGATGTGCATGCATAGTTTTTCTCTTTTTATTCCTGCACTGTTACGTTCAAGTTTGTTCCCATCTTTCTTTCCTTATATTCTTCCGATCCACAGCATGGGTTGCTGTGTGCCGCATAGGACGCACAAAACCCATCCTCTCGTGTAGGGCACCCCCGCACACCTGTGTGCGGGCCTGCTACCACCAGAGGCGACACAAACACACAGACACATACGCTCATCATCAACAGTGAGGCTTCTCTTTGACTCGACCTTCTCCTCAAGTGAAACAGGATAGCACCTGCTTGTATACATCTCAGCATTTACACTCGGGTATTGTTGTGAATAATGAATGAACCATGCTAAACTGCTTCTACCATACACATAACAGAGCAGTAGCTTCCTTGACAAATGACAAACATGTGAGTATTATGGAAGATTTCCTGATGGCTTGCCAAAAATTTGCTGCAACGTGGCAAACTGCTTGCAGTGTATGTGTCCTTTACTTCATAGTTATGGAGGTTTAGCACAGTGAATGTCATTAGGATCCCACACACCGAACAGGTACTCCAGGGCCATTGTATCCAATACTCTGGCTGATGGAGGACAGGGTACCTTCACTGTAATTGATATGCCCCCAATATAGATTGTCCAAGAGATCACGTACTGCCTATTGCATTGCGTGCCAGCCACTATCTTGCCCCAACAGCACAACAAAGTGAAACTGATCACCTAACAAACCTAATTTTCTCTGTCGTGTTTTGCTTCACAAAGCATTTCTTGCCATGTCACTTCAAATTCGAGCTCGAGACATGGGCATTGGGGAACAGTTCAAAAGGGACACTAGCTCCAATCAAGCCTCACCAGAACTTGCCCCTACCCAAGCTACAGCAGTGCTCTCTCCTTCCCCCATCTGCAAAGCAACACTAATTTGCACCACCCCCCCCCCCTTCCCTCAAGAGAAAATCCTACAGACGATCATGGCTCTAGGGCCTACAAATGTTCGCGCCCATAGAAAAAAATACGTTGGGGCTACAAATGCGAGCAATTGTTTACGTATTACTGCATAATAAAGCAGTTAAATCTTTTTTTTATTTGGTCACTAGAAAATGCACGGAAATCTTCCATTTTCACAATATGATCACGGGTTGGGCAAGTACTTCTGAAAAATGCACTGCTGGCCATTTCTGAGAGAGGAGGTCTATGTTCAGTAAAACTACACTTTGATTCCGACTAAAGCACAAATACACTTGGAACTGTAAGCATGAGCGTACAGATAGACCATGCATGTTTCACCTAAAACCCAGACACCCCTAAGCTCATCAAGCCATTACGACAAGTGAGGTCAGAATAAACTGTTGCATTGGTACACATTTACATAAAGCAGAACACTGTTGGTATGTATAAGAAGACTTGAAAGCTCACAAAAACAAAATGATAAAAATAGTTGTTTAATTACACAACATGCTCTTTCGTTTCTGTAGCAATCTTCTTTCATACTTCGACGGCCTCCCATAGTACAGCTGCCTTGCAACATTACGGTAGAAAAGGAGACGAATATTGATCTGCAATATCCCTTGTATTGTTTCCACGCTAATTATTTGTAATGCCCAGTATGTTCGTCAAGGCCTTCTCTTACTCATCCATGTGCTAACTACTTCATCACTTTATACTTGACACATGCAGTAGGCGATGTCGTACTTCAACTTGGTACTGTTTTGTCACCGTGTGCTGCAGGCCAGCATGTTTGACACTAGAATTGCATAGTAAAATGAATTAATGAAGATTAAGTTTTTGGGATGCCTCTACACAGGACACCCAATGCAGCACATTTCTATGAAGCAGCCCACTTTAATAGTGAGCCACATATTGGCCTGTTGTACCAATACATGGCACATGAACCATACTAAATTATCAAATTTTTCTTTGCTCAGTCATTATCAAGTTGCCATGGTTATTCAAGGTATGCTCGCTAGCGAATTGCTACCAAGCCTGTGGCCAAGCAGGGCACACATTCAGAATTTATCCTAAATAAGCTACTTCAAACAGTTGCTTTAATGAAGTATATTACATTTTCATCACCAGAATATATAGAGCTTTAGGTGAACAGTCATTAAATTTGCTGTAATAAATATTACCTCAAATCTTTTACTTCCGATTTCATTACAATAGTGAAACTCTATTTCACATAAGGGACCACTTGCCTAATGAATTTTTTTTTTAATTCTTTCATTATATCCGTTTATTGTTTGTGTATTTCAAATGAAACAAAAAAGTTTGTACAGGTCGTCGCATCATGAGAATTGCTGCTGCAAGATTTCTAACTTCTGTTCGAGGAAAGGAAGGCCTCATAATGATCTCTAGATTGTTTTTGCTCTCCTTAGGCATACAAAATCATGCTACGTTTTATTTTGTACAATTAAACCCCTTTATAGGACGCATGCTCTGTGCAGCAATCATTGTCTTTTATACAAGATGTCTCTTATAACCCAGGTGCCTCGTATGCATTTTCTTATCAACCCATATTTTACTGTATGCACACTGCTGTCTCTTATACCTATTTGTCTCTTATAACCAAAAGTGCCTCGTATGCATTTTCTTATCAACCCGTATATTACTGTATGTACACTAGTATCTTATACCCATTTGTATCTTATAATCAAGGTCCCTCGTATGCATTTTCTTATCAACTAGCATTTTACTGTATGCAAACTGGTGTGTCTAATAACCAAGGTGCCTCGTAGGCATTTTCTAATGCACTCATATTTTACTGTATGCACACTGGTCTTTTATACCAATTTGTCTCTTATAACCAAGGTGCCTCATAAGCATTTCATAGCAACACATATTTTAATGCATGCACACTGCTCTCTCTTATACACATTTGTCTCTTATAACCAAGGTGCCTCGTAGGCATTTTCTAATGCGCTCATGTTTTACTTTATGCACACTGGTCTTTTATACTAATTTGTCTCTTATAACCAAGGTGCCTCGTAGGCATTTTCTAATGCACTCATATTTTACTTTATGCACACTGGTCTTTTATACTAACTTGTATCTTATAACCAAGGTGCCTTGTAGGCATTTTCTAATGCACTCATATTTTACTTTATGCACACTGGTCTTTTATACTAATTTGTCTCTTATAACCAAGGTGCCTCGTAGGCATTTTCTAATGCACTCATATTTTACTTTATGCACACTGGTCTTTTATACTAATTTGTCTCTTATAACCAAGGTGCTTCGTATGCATTTTCTTAGCAACACATATTTTACTGCATGCACACTGCTCCTCTTATACCCATTTGTCTCTTATAACCAAGCTACCTCATATGCATTTTCTTATCAACTAGTATTTTACTGTATGCAAACTGGTGTCTCTTATAACCAAGGTGCCTCGTAGGCATTTTCTAATGCACTCATATTTTACTTTATGCACACTGGCCTTCTATACTAATTTGTCTCTTATAACCAAGGTGCCTCGTAGGCATTTTCTAATGCACTCATATTTTACTTTATGCACACTGGTCTTTTATATTAATTTATCTCTTATAACCAAGGTGCTTCATATGCATTTTTTTAGCAACACATATTTTACTGCATGCACACTGCTCTCTCTTATACCCATTTGTCTCTTATAACCAAGCTACCTCATATGCATTTTCTTATCACTAGTATTTTACTGTATGCAAACTGGTGTCTCTTATAACCAAGGTGCCTCGTAGGCATTTTCTAATGCACTCATATTTTACTTTATGCACACTGGCCTTCTATACTAATTTGTCTCTTATAACCAGGTGCCTCGTAGCATTTTCTAATGCACTCATATTTTACTTTATGCACACTGGTCTTTTATATTAATTTATCTCTTATAACCAAGGTGCTTCATATGCATTTTTTTAGCAACACATATTTTACTGCATGCACACTGCTCTCTCTTATACCCATTTGTCTCTTATAACCAAGCTACCTCATATGCATTTTCTTATCAACTAGTATTTTACTGTATGCAAACGGGTATTTCTTATAACCAAGGTGCCTCGTAGGCATTTTCTAATGCACTCATATTTTACTTTATGCACACTGGTCTTTTATACTTATTTGTCTCTTATAACCAAGGTGCCTCATAAGCTTTTCATAGCAACACATATTTTAGTGCATGCACACTGGTCTCTTATACCCATTTGTCTCTTATAACCAAGGTGCCTCGTAGGAATTCTCTAATGCACTCATATTTTACATTATGCACACTGGTCTTTTATACTAATTTGTCTCTTATAACCAAGGTGCCTCATAAGCATTTCATAGCAACACATATTTTACTGCATGCACACTGCTTTCTCTTATATTCATTTGTCTCTTATAACCAAGGTGCCTCGTAGGCATTTTCTAATGCACTCATATTTTACTTTATGCACACTGGTCTTTATACTAATTTGTCTCTTATAACCAAGGTGCCTCGTAGGCATTTTCTAATGCACTCATATTTACTTTATGCACACTGGTCTTTTATACCTATTTGTCTCTTATAACCAAGGTGCCTCGTAGGCATTTTCTAATGCACTCATATTTTACTTTATGCACACTGGTCTTTTATACCTATTTGTCTCTTGTAACCAAGGTACCTCGTAGGCATTTTCTAATGCACTCATATTTTACTTTATGCACACTGGTCTTTTATACTAATTTCTCTTATAACCAAGGTGCCTCATAAGCATTTCATAGCAACACATATTTTACTGCATGCACACTGCTTTCTCTTATATTCATTTGTCTCTTATAACCAAGGTGCCTCGTAGGCATTTTCTAATGCACTCATATTTTACTTTATGCACACTGGTCTTTTATACTAATTTGTCTCTTATAACCAAGGTGCCTCGTAGGCATTTTCTAATGCACTCATATTTTACTTTATGCACACTGGTCTTTTATACCTATTTGTCTCTTATAACCAAGGTGCCTCGTAGGCATTTTCTAATGCACTCATATTTTACTTTATGCACACTGGTCTTTTATACCTATTTGTCTCTTGTAACCAAGGTACCTCGTAGGCATTTTCTAATGCACTCATATTTTACTTTATGCACACTGGTCTTTTATACTAATTTCTCTTATAACCAAGGTGCCTCATAAGCATTTCATAGCAACACATGTTTTACTGCATGCACACTGCTTTCTCTTATATTCATTTGTCTCTTATAACCAAGGTGCCTCGTAGGCATTTTCTAATGCACTCATATTTTACTTTATGCACACTGGTCTTTTATACTAATTTGTCTCTTATAACCAAGGTGCCTCATAAGCATTTCATAGCAACACATATTTTACTGCATGCACACTGCTTTCTCTTATACCCATTTGTCTCTTATAACCAATGTGCCTCGTAGGCATTTTCTAATGCACTCATATTTTACTTTATGCACACTGGTCTTTTATACCTATTTGTCTCTTATAACCAAGGTGCCTCGTAGACATTTTCTAATGCACTCATATTTTACTTTATGCACACTGGTCTTTTATACCTATTTGTCTCTTATAACCAAGGTGCCTCGTAGGCATTTTCTAATGCACTCATATTTTACTTTATGCACACGGCTCTCTCTTATACCCATTTGTCTCTTATAACCAAGCGACCTCATATGCATTTTCTTTCAACCCGTATTTTACTGTATGCACACTAGTATCTTATACCCATTTGTCTCTTATATCAGTGTCTCTTATAAAGGGGTTCGACTGTAAAACATTTCACTTTTGTATTGTACGTGCCATTTGTGACGAGAAAAGTCATATGTAGCCAAGATTACTCATCATTCCACATCAACAGACACTTTCATGAATCAAGTGCATAACTTGACAATTCAAGTGTTTTACTATGACCATACTTCGTGTTCCGAGTGTGCTGCATGTTTCAAATCTTTGAGTATGCATGAAAAAAATCTGAAGTTGTTTACATGTTTATCTTATGAATGTTTGTAAATATCATGTCCGTGTTTTTGTATTTATTTGATGTGTGTCCCACAGAGCGCATGATTTTAAGATAGTGGCATTTTTCAGGGTAAAACCAGGCTTGTCCCTTTAAAGAACATTGCCTGGGAGCAGAAGCTCATGCCAGTCACTTTGATACACGGAGTCCACCCCCATGCCCTCAAAAACAGCACATTACTTTCTAATAAGTAATCAAGACTGCTGCAAGTTATCAAATCTTTAGGAACACTGGTTGAAGTAACTTGTGCCTAGTGTTCAATTGTGTATGCTGTTCTTCTGCAATAAAAATTTCTGCACCACACAAAACAAATGCTACGACACCTTTATTTCGTTGAAATTGCAAACACCCTCTCGGAGACATTCTTACTTTGGACGAGCTTGGACTAAGTTTCTGTGTGCCACAAGAATGCACACTGCAGTGCTTCATGTTTACACAACCTCTGCTCTGAAGTACAAATGCACAAAGAGATGCTGCGTAGTGAACACGTAGCGGGTGACCGCGGCGCTCCGCGTAGCGGAACGGCGGGTGCAGGCAAACCATTGAGGCGCAAGTGCAATCAACACCGCAGGCGGAGTTAGCTGCGTGTCGTCTGCTACGGTGCCTCCCACTTTGCCTTGAGCATCGAAACATAGCACGTGTGAAGTGGGAGACACCGTAGCATATGACGCACAGCTAACTCCGCATTTGGTGCTGATAGCACTTGCACCGCAATGCTTCATGCGGCGCCCGCTTGGTGGCCCGAAGGAAGCGGCCACGCATGCAGTGTTCCCTCTAACAGTGGCCGCGACTGTAGAATCTTTCAACCCCCTCAATTCTTGCACTTTCACCAAGAGGTGGTCCTTTGGCATTTATGACTGGAGACATGCATTAGCACAGCAGCACGCTTGCCTGTCAACACTTAATTTGAACTGTGACATTCATGTATAATTCTGCAACACAAATCAACAGCAAAAACTTCATAGTATGCATGCTGCCAAACAGAACAGTTGGGCTACACATAGTGCCAGTTCATTCATCATCAACATCCACCAACTTTATGTCCACTGCAGGAACAAAGGCCTCTTTCTCTCAATGACCTCCAATTTACCCTATCTTGGACAAGTTGATTCAATGTCCAACTTGCACATTTCTTAATTTCATCACCTTGCCTAACCCGCTGCCATGTTTCCCCATCTCCTTGTTCTAACTGGCCATCAGTTTATCTGCCTTTTGCTATAATATTATATGACCTGTCCAGGACCACTTTTTTCCCCCTAAATGGCAGTTATCTCTGTTTTGTAGTAGACTCAGCTCTCTTCCTGTCTATCATAATCCATTCCATTGCCAACATATTGTGGGTATATCCTTTTTTTAAAGAATCCTTTTCCTGTAAACAAAATAGTAGAGTGTGTACAAGCTAACTTAACTTTCTGCACCATAGCTAAGTAGTAATGCAATAGCCACTATAATGGCATCATGCAGAGATCGTTGGACCTAACCACTACCTAGAAACGTATAAAATTCGATAAGCTACAGCCCCAAAGTTTAGATCTAGTTTACTAAATGCAATCAATAACTCTCGCAGACATTTATTTCAATGAAACTAATAAGTAAAGCAAATGCACGGGGGAAAACTAGCTTGTTTCATTCCTAAAGCACAAGCAAGTTAATTTTAGCCACAGAAACAGTAATATGTAATTTACTGCAAGCACATAGCCATAATCCTTAATTTAGGAGAATATTTACAGTTCTCTTGGGAGCGAAATGATAAAGAAGTCAATGTCTCTTGGAGAGTAGCACATTTTTTTTGTTGTTGCAGCCTGAAAAGGAGCAATTATATAAGTAACACCGAAAGCCAGGAGATAGATAATGTGAAAATCAAGATACGCCACGTCATTCTTAATGTGCACATGAGAAATCGTGTCTAAATACTGTATTGAGACTTTTATACTCGCTTTCTGCAAAGAAATTGCAAAAGAACAACAGAGCAGGAAGTGAAATAATGTGCAAATGCATTATAGTAAAAAGATATCTCGCAAGATATAGTATCAAAAGCACAAAAAATAAAATGAATATGTATAGATATGCACGCATAGAAAGTACTACATTGATTACATCTTGGGTAATACTGAAAATGGCTGGTGATATCACTCGAGGAAGGTATCCATGCAAGACTTGGTAACACTACGCATCTCGTGATTGATGTTCAAATCCAACAGCACAACTTCACATTGATCAACATATACTGTGTTTATCCACAAGCAACAGCACAATGAGATATTCCAAAGTCACTTTGAGGTATGTGAGAAACAAAGAACTCTCCTATCCCCCCAATTAACAGTTGTTCATTCAGTTATGACGCCCTCAGCGTCAGATCATTGCCTGGTGCAAGTCTAACTTGGAAGCACAGCTACAGAAATAGCAAAGTGTTCAACTAAGGTTGTGAAAAGGGGCAAACAGCTTAACCCTTTCAGATGCTTTGTACACAATTGTGCGCATCACTTGCTTTGTACACAATTGTGCGCATCACTTGTTTTTGCTAGTTGTGCCAATTAGGGGCTAAAAAAGTGGAAGATACCATGAGGTTTAGATGAAATGAACCTCCTCCTTAATAAACTTGTCTTCATTTAACTTTAGTTTTGATCGTACTGTTGCACGTAATAACCTTTCCAAAAGCACTACCATAGTCGACGAGTCGTTCGACTTGACGCTTCCCTGGAGCCACCTCGAAATATATTTTTTTTCTTTTCTCAATATCAACAAAATGAGAAACTAATTTGCACTATATTTCTAGTTTGAGATTTGATTGTATATATGCAAGAAGCAAACATGAATGTCTTCAGGATAAGTTAATTTTGGCCACAGAAACAGTAATATGTAATGTACTGCAAGGTCTTCAATCCTTGCAATCACGTCTTGACGAACAAGATGACCGGTCGCGCCGCAATAACCTCCTGTTTCATGCCATACCCGACTGCAAAGAAACTTGGAACGAATCTGAGGCCCGCATCAGAGAAGTTTTGACAGGCGTAATTGATTGGCTATCCGCAAACGACATTGAGCGGGCTCACCGTTTGGGAGCATTTCGCCCAGGTAGACATCGCCCCATTATCGTAAAATTTGCCAATTTCAAAACAAAAGACAAAATACTCTGCGCACGCAAAAAACTTAAAGAAAAGGACATTTCTGTGAACGAAGATTTTTCGCCGGCGACACGCCATGCTCGAAATCAACTTGCGGCCTTCGCGAAAAGTCAGTCAACCGAAGCACCCTTCCAACTCCGGCACAACAAGCCGATTATGAACAAAAAACAATAATTCTTCGACCCCTCAACTAATCGCGTAACAGAGCACCTACAACGCCTGCCCCATAACCCCCAAAACCACACCGTGCCGAGCAATGAAAGCTAGGAAAAACTGAGGGGCAGTGGAAGGAAACTAAATCGCGTATCATTTCTTTACGCCAACATTCGTAGCATTTTTAAAAAACGCGATAATCTTCATTTTGCCGTTACTACAACTAATGCTCATATCGTAGCACTAACAGAGACCTGGCTGCATCCAGATATTCTTGACCACGAATTACTCGACTGTGCTCATTCTTTTTCTTTTTACCGATGTGATCGAACAGCCCGCCAAGGGGGCGGCGTATTGCTGGCTATTACGAAAACCCTACCATCACAGTGTGTTCATGTTCCTTCAGATCTGGAGATAGTATGGGCTATTATCCAATTCTCCCATGGAAAAGTTGTCGGTGTATGCTATCGTCCTCCTGCATCATCCCTGTCCTTTATCAACGAACTGCACGACGCTATCAACATTGTTAAGTCTCGCCACCCGTCGGCTCCTTTGCTTCTAATAGGCGATTTTAATATTCCAAACATTTCCTGGGCAACTGAACCACATACCATCAGCCCCTTTTCCACATTCGCTAATGATTTCTTAAATTTGTGCTCTGTTTTTTCCTTGTCACAATTAGTAAAGCAACCTACCAGAACTACTGCGTCGGTAGCTAACACACTAGACCTTGTGCTTTCGTCCCACTCCGATTTTGTTTCGAACATTACCCATCTGCCAGGTTTAAGCGATCATACTCTGCTATCGTTCAACATCAACGCATCCTGTCCCAAGCGTGTAAAAACGGTTAAAACAATTCATGACTACGGTAAAGCCGATTTTGTCTCCATTAATAATGAACTTTGCACATTTCTTGATAGTTTCCTCTCCACGTTTGATAGTCGTAGTGTTCAAACTAACTGGGACATTTTTGTAGATAAGGTGAAACAACTAACAAATAAACACATTCCTGTTCGCGCTATCACATCCAACCAAAATGCACCATGGTTCAATATACAGATTAAGCGTCTCCTAAACAAAAAGCATCGTATTTACAAGGCCGTGAAAAAATCCTCCTGCATCTTTCGATGGGACGATTACAAAAAAGCCTCCCAAGAGTACACCACCGCACTAAAAAATGCAAAATATTGCTATTTTAACACCACGCTTACGAATATGTTACTAACGGATCCTAAGAAATTTTGGCACGTTATTAACCCCAAAGATAGCGAAATGTTAACGTTGATTGACAGTGCTGGAAACACCATTCCCCCCCATTTGTGTGCAGAAGCCCTTAATGATGCCTTTTCCAGAAATTTCTCGGCAACTACAGACGCCCCTGTTCCGACCACCCCCCATTGTGACTACTACCCACCCATGCCTCCTATTATTATTATTGACTACATTGGTGTTGAAAGTGTCCTTAAAGCCTTTCTCGTCTCCTGGGTGTGATACGATCAGTCCTAAATTTTTGAAAAACACCAGCTCTTATTGTTCAATCATACTAACGAAGATATTCGAAGAATCGCTTCATGAAGGCTGTCTCCCCATCGACTTTAAGATTGGAAAGATAACTGCACTGTTTAAAACTGGTAACAAACATTTACCGTCTAACTACCAGCCTATCTCGCTAACCAGCATACCTTGTAAAATACTAGAACACATATTATATTCCAAACTGGCAGGTTTTCTCGAATCTAACTCGTTTTTTTCCAAGTGTCAATACGGTTTCAGAAAAAACTATTCATGCGAGACTCAACTTGCATCTTTCACTCATGGATTAAACATCATTCTTGATCACTCATCCATGGCTGATTGCATATTTTTAGACTTTTCCAAAGCTTTCGATAAAGTATGTCACAAGTTGTTACTTCACAAACTACAAAATCCTAATCTTGATCCGAAACTTTTATTTTGGCTTGAATGTTTCCTTTCTAACCGCGCTCAGTTTGTTTTAGCTAACGATAACGTCTCACCCCGAACGAACGTCTCTTCTGGAGTCCCTCAAGGATCTGTCCTGGCTCCCCTGCTCTTTCTTATTTACATTAATGACTTACCTTTATCTGTTACTTCTCACATTCACTTGTTTGCCGATGACTGCGTCCTCTTTCGTAAAATATCTAATGACAATGACCTATTAACCCTTCAATCTGATCTTAACGCTATTTCTGTGTGGTGTAAAACATGGGTAATGGAACTCAACACTAACAAATGCAAGTTCCTTCGCGTATCTAGAATTAACCGTATATTGCCCACTTACTATCTGAACGATGCTCCACTGGAATCTGTCAGCACTTACAAATATCTCGGAATACATATTACTACCGACCTCACTTGGTCCGTGCATACCACGTACGTAATTAATAACGCTAATCGCATGCTCGGCTACGTACGTCGAAATTTCTCACAGGCTCCTTCAACACTAAAACTAACTCTCTACAAGACGCTTATCCGCTCCAAACTGGAGTATGCTGCATCAGTTTGGGATCCTAACCAAGAGAATCTAATACACTCACTTGAAATGGTTCAAAATAACTCTGTTCGTTTTATACTCTCTAACTACAACCGGACTGCCAGCATAAGCACTATGAAATCCAGCCTCAAATTACCTTCCTTATCATCTCGTAGGAAAATCCTTCGCCTCTGTCTTTTCCATAAGCTTTTCTATCACAGCCAGCTACGAAACGAACTCATTCTGCCTCCTCGGTACATTTCAGCTCGCATAAATCATGTCCATAAAGTCGGCTTGCCGTCCTGCAGAACTAACTCCTTTTCCCAGTCATTCATACCGTGTACATCACAGGAATGGAACCACCTACCCGCACTGACGGCAACAATCTCGGACCACCAACTTTTTAAAACTGCTTTAGCTAATATTGTATAACGTATAACACTGAAGTACATTGCATTTTCCTGGTTTTGTTGTGTTTATACTTTTTTTTGCTCTGTTCTATATTATGTTTGTAACTATTGTAACCCACTCCCCTCTCTAATGCCTCTGGCCCTGAGGGTACCAAAATAAATAAATAAATAAATAAATAAATAAATAAATAAATAAATAAATAAGTAGATAGTTAATGGAAGCTTAATTTCAATTAACTGACAAAAATGCATAAATAAATCTACTGTAAAATTATTGTTTTTGCAAATAGAATATAGACGGCCTTGGAATCATGTAGAATTTGATGCAATTACAGACTGTTCTTTATAGGTGGCGTCTGAAAGGGTTAACTACCTAGGTTTACAAATTCACAGAGCATGAAAAGAATAACAGATTCTCTATTTGTGAATTCGAATGATGACCAGCCTCAATGTATCTGCAAATGTACGTGCGTCACTTCCGGACATGTTTTACAGCCATGGGTAGGCCTACCTTTGGCTCGAAATTACGCCCACATTTACTTTTCCATTGTGTTTGTTATATGTCCCACATATTTGCATTGCGTGAAAGAAGCGGAAGCCCCTTGATACGATTCTGACCCCCAATATGCAGGAGAATTTTCAAGCTACATGTTTATCCTACAACATTTTCTTTCAGTTTGCATTCTTGCCACTTATAGCAAATGTTTAAAAGGTCAGCAGCAATGAAATTTGGGCCCATGTGAAAACCAGAGTTCATAGTAAAGTAAATGCCAAGAAGCCCCAGTGCAGAATTTTACCTTTTAAAAGCTGGCAGAAACGTTACAAAATTACCATCATAAATTACAAATTACCATTAGATTAAACGATACTGCATAGTCATCAGTATTAAAGAAGCTCCGACATCAAATTTCAAGATCGAGATGTGCCCATCATTCGATGGCTTGGTATGCATAGGTCTTCTTGGCTAAATTTGAATGGCAATTGTCGCGTGGAAGTTATTTTAATTTTATGTCAAACAGTGTAAAAAAGCTAAAGAAAAAAATGGAAAGTAGACTGCCCTGCGACATCGATACTAGTGCTACGTGTTCGGTGTGATACATTCGACAAATACCATCCTGAGTGACGATACGCAGTAACAATGACGTCGACGATCTGAGAGTGTTTGAAGCCGACTCCTGGCCATGCCCTCACTAATGGCTCTCCTTGCTGTGTTGAAGCGTACAAGTGATTCATCGTGTCGCATGGACTGATTTGACATGTGCACCGCTGCGCAGTGATAACCTGCACATCGAGGTGCGGAAAAAGCGGAAATCGCATGGCGTTTCATGCTTTTCCAAGCCACGAACCTCAACACAGCCAGTGAGTTAACTTCGTAAGCGCCGATGAACAGAGGGACTGGACGCCTAATAAGAACAACCGCATTTGCTTGCTTCACTTTGCGCCGACCTGCTACAGGGTAAATCCTGTGTTGGCGAACGAGTTGGGTTTCACTGGCAGTACAAGGCCTTTTCTCGAGGCCGGGGCTAAAGGAAGAGGGGAAGAATGAGCTGGCGCTACTTAACCTAGCCTGCGAAAAACGTATGGAGGGGCTTTAGTCTACATCATCAGAGACACAGCTGGACTGACTGCACGTGCGCTCCTAGCAGATGAAATGCCAGTGTGCGTGATGTCACCATTTTTTGTGAAAGCAGCATCAGCTGTGCAGCGGCCTCGATGTGGCTGCGAGGTAGCGCTGACAGCACTACAATATGGCGGGCTTTCGACCCATTCTGAACCATGTTCGATAGCAGATATATTAATCAATATTACAGATAATCATTCGTACCCCAGATGCAATTTAGGTCGCGAATTGCTACTAGGGGGTCGACAGCTACTCGTTGAGACAAAAATCTTGACATGAGTAAATTTGATGTCAGTGCTCCTTTAAGAAATTAACTGACTTGGCAACTATAGAAGCCCTAGTGTGATAACATGTTAATGTAAACAGCTAATGGTACCGAAATTAGGAGGACACACAAGCATGTGTACAGGTCTATAATAAACAAATAAATAAATAAATACAAGAGTATGCAGGCCTCCACACAATTTCACAGCTTTAGAAATTCACAGAATACGATTTCAGTGGATCTCCAGCTGTAATTGGTAACTGTATCTGTCATGCTTTGGTGGTGAACGACTAAAAAGTGATATGAGTACTAGTGCCAGGGTTTTAAATATTCCTTCGAATAACATCAACTAAGCTACTGAAGCAACAATTCTTTGGCCTTGACATTTTCGTTTTGTAAAAAAAAAAAGCCTAACGATAACCTAAAAAAGTATGGGTCTTATTTTTGTAGCAGAGGTACCACCCATACCGAAAAGCTCATACTTCTTTTTCCTTCTCTACAACAGTGGGAGTCCAATTAGTGTGGGCTCAAGCATTATTGCTTACTCACTTTAATGTGCTCTCCTTACACTAAATATTACAAGACTGTTGTCAACAAATGTGTTAACATGCATAAATGAGCTTTCGTCTGTGGTAACAACTGGGCACAATCTACCCTCGACACAGTTCCACAGCTTTCCTTCTGTGAAGTGTGAAGTATATTGCAATAATTTGTACATTTTTATTCAAGCCAGCAAAAATTTGCATGCATGCATAGAAAACATTTCGATAAGGTAGCCCTTCTTATAACTACTACCTGACATAAGATAGTATGTGATGGTAAGAAACTGAAAAACCCGGCTACTTTTGTGTTCATTAGTGTGTCCCCGTGTTAATTGCTCGATGTCTTGTGCTACATCCATGAATATATAATATACACTGCATATAATTTCACAGAAAATCCCAATATTATAGCTAGAGGGAAAAAAATGGGTTTAATATTGCACTGACAAACCTTGTGGCAACATGATTTGCCTTCTTTTTCACAGCGGGAAATTAATAACACGGATATAATCAAGCAGGAAAAAGATTAACAGCTGGGCTAAAAACTTAGATGAAAGAAATGTAAGGTATAACATAATGCAGCTTTAAGCATCAGTATGCTAAAGCTTCCACATTTTTTCACAGCGCGAAATGATTGAAAACAGATGAGAGGACAACACACAGGCACTGTGTTCTATTGCACACAGTACATGTATTGTGTCCTGTCATCAGTTCTCGTTCATGTAGTGCTGTGCAAATGTGTCAATGCTATATTACCAACTAGCCCAACGTACCTTTCTATCATGCTGAAGCTGACACACACACGAGACAAGAAAATTTGGAGTTGTAAGAAATCGGACATACCTATACATTTCTTTCTTGCCATGGAAGCTCACCAGGTGTCAACAGACAGTGAACGACTTGTACCAAAGACACAGCTACGTGCAGTCAAAGCTAAGATGAATGTCTTAAGTTTGTTAACGGCTTTGGCTAAAGAAGATTAGCTGGGAAAACACTGAACCAGGTTTCCTCGGGTTCCTACCCTACTGGTCTCCAGAATCAGGCATCACTCTGAGCTGCAGAATATGGTGGTGGAGGGAGTGCCCGAAGCTTGAGTGTTCCTTGCCGAGACCTGCATGAAGAACCCAGCGAAAATGTACTCCTGTATCAAAAGAAGTCTCAAGTCAAGCCTGTTATCTTCTGAATGATATTAAGACCTTTTCAAAGAGTCCTGGACATCTGCAAAAATAATAATCATAAACAAACATGCAAGGCTTCAGCGTTACATGCAGCACTGTCACCGCAAAATCAGGAGCAGCCTTTCTAGAGGCTGTTGTAAACTCTCTTGGGGTAACCACTACTTACAGTTGCAAGGCACACTATGCCATCAATTATCATAATTTTGGTAAGTATGGAAGCACCCACTATACCATTACTCATGATTTTGCGAAGAAGCGAGTACCCACTGTTAACCTGTAACATGTCACGGGGTGCATGTAGGCAGAGGGTAGAAATATATTTACAGATTCTACACGGAGTACACAGTGTCTTTGAACCAAGAAAGCGGAGTGGCAGCAACAACACGAGCTTTTGTTCAATCATCATCTTCGTCGCATTTATGAGGCATTTGTTGATGTTAACGATGACTTGTATCATATAGTTGCCGCCGCTGAAAGCGCCGTCTCGGCGCTTAAGAAAGCGTCGATCCTGCGCAGACAAGTATGGCTTAAGGTTGGAGACGTGTACAATATCAGCGAACGGCAGAGACGATGAGGATAAAGCGTCCAAGGGGGCAATCTCATAGGTGACCTCGGTCAGTTGGCACAAGACTTTGTAAGGCCCGTTGTAGCGAGCGAGGAACTTTGAGGACAGGCCAACGTGACGGGAGGGAGTCCAGAACAAGACCAACGATCCTGGGGAGTAAGAGACAGCTCTGTGACGGCTGTCGTAGCGATCCTTCCGAGATAGCTGCGAGGCAGGATGGCGATCCCGAGCAATCTGACGGGCCGCTCAAGCCTGAGTAGTTGCATTGCGAGCGTACTCGGTAGGAGTGTCACTATGCTACAGCAGAAGAGTGTCAAAAGGCAAAGTGGGGTGACGGCCATACAAGAGATAGAAGGGAGAAAAGCCAGCAGTGTCATGTCGTGACGAGTTGTAAGCAAACGTCACGTAAGGCAAAGTGGCATCCCAATCATGATGATTGATCTGCGGAGACGTACATGGATAGCATTGTCGTCAGTGTGCGGTTAAGGCACTCAGTGAGTCCATTTGTTCACAGGTGGTAGGCAGTGGTGAGTTTATGACGTGTGGAACACGAGTGAAGAATGTCGTCCACGACCTTGGAGAGAAATGAACGACCACGGTCGGTCAGCAGTTGACGCGGCGCTCCATGGTGGAGAATAACGTCATGAAGGAGAAAGCCCGCGACATCAGTAGCACAGCTTGTTGGTAGCGCTCGCGTGATGGCAAAGCGTGTCGCGTAGTCTGTAGCCACCACTACCCACTTATTCCCACTCAGAGACGTTGGAAATGGTCCAATGAGATCGAGGATGACGTGGTAGAACGGGTCTGTTGGAATGTCGATATGCTGAAGTGGGCCAGGTGGTGCCAATGAAGGATGCTTGTGGTGCTGGCAAGACTCACAAGATGCAACGTATCAACGCACAGAGCCGTAAAGGCCGGGCCAGAAGAATCGACGCCGCACGCGGTGATACGTGCGGGCTGCTCTGAGATGTCCAGTAGTTGGGGCATCATGAAGTTGTTTGAGCACAGTGGAACAGAGCGTTGCAGGAACTACCAGAAAAAGTTCTCGGCCTTCGGTGCTTGTGTTGCGCCGATAGAGAATTCCGTCATGAAGTGTTAACAGGCGAATGGAAGGATCCGAGGTGTCAGAAGCTAGACGGCGTATGATAGACCGCAAATCGGCATCACTGAGTTGTTCCCTACGTATGTCCGTGAAATCATAAATGGCGAAGACACACACATCAGAATCGTGCGCTGACGGGTCAGGGGGATCGACGGGATGGCGGGATAGACAGTCCGCATCCTGGTGCATTCGGCCAGACCTGTAGGCCACGTCAAAGCTATATTCCTGTAGCTTTAAAGCCCAAGGACCCAGGCGTGCGAAAGGATCTTTGAGGGAGGGCAACCAGCACAGGGCATGGTGATCCGTGATGACCCAAAAGTGGCGGCTGAACAAGTATGGTCGGAATTTTCCAACTGCCCATACAAGAACGAGGCACTCGCGCTCAGTGATGGAAAATTGCACTCGGATGGGGAGAGGAGGCGACTTGCGTAGGCGATTACGCGATTTTGACTCTGTCGCCACTAGACGGGGACAGCGCCAATACTGTGTCCGCTGGCGTCGGTGTGAACTTCAGTGGGTGCTGAAGGATCCAAATGACCTAAGATGGGTGGGGAAGTGAGCAATGCAGTAAGTTGGTGAAACGAATTGGCTTGCTGGAGGCCCCAAGAAAATGGTGTGTCCTTCTTCAGTAGCTGTGTCAAAGAATGGGCAATGTTGGCGAAGTTGTGGATGAAACGCCGGAAATGGGAGCAGAGGCCGACAAAGCTCCGTACACCTTTCGTGGAACGTGGTGTAGGGAAATGTTCGACGACGCGAATTTTGTCAGGATCGGGTTGCACACCTTTAGCACTGACAAGATGGCCTAGCACAGTGATTGTTTGGCAGCCAAAACGGCATTTGGAGGAATTGAGCTGTAGGCCTGCCCTTCTGAAAACTTCCAGAACAGCTGACAGACGGCTAAGATGACTTTTGAATGACGGCGAGAATACAATGACGTCATCGAGATAACAGAGTCACGTTGACCATTTGTAATCCCGTAGCAGGGAGTCCATCATTCTCTCAAATGTAGCAGGAGCATTGCATAAGCCAAAAGGCATTACCTTAAACTGGAAAAGTCCATCTGGTGTAATAAATGCAGTCTTTTCACGATCTAATTCGTCGACGGAAATTTGACAGTATCCTAAACGCAGGTCGATAGAAGACAAGTAGGCAGACCCATGTAGGCAGTCGAGAGCATCGTCAATCTGTGGCAGTGGGTAGACATCCTTGCGCATGACCTTGTTTAAGTGACGATAGTCGGCGCAGAAGCGCCAGCTGCCATCCTTCTTTTTTACTAGAACGACTGGTGAGGCCCATGGACTGAAAGATGGTTCAATTACGTCTTTTGTGAGCATTTTATCAACTTCACGTTGGATGACTTGTCGCTCTGCATGTTACACACGATAAGGACGTCGTCAGATTGGGCTGGTGTCTCTAGTGTTAATCTTGTGAGTAACAACTGACGTCTGACCTAAAGGGCTGTAGCCAAAGTCGAAGATGTCCCTGAAGGATCCCAAGATATGCCGGAGATCGGCTGCCTGTGCTGAAACGAGGTCTGGCGTGATCGTCTGGTCAAAGTCGGCATCAGTGGAGCCCTGTGAAAAGGATGCAGTAGCGGGCAAAGGAGCGTCTGCAATGAATGCAGAAACAGAATGTTCCCTGATGGAAGAGATGTTGGCTAGAGTCATGCCATCTGGAACAATTTGAGCGCACCAGCTGAAGTTTAGTATCGATAGCAAGCAACGCCATATTATTCGTAATCGTCAACAGAGTGGGAGGAAGGGCAACATTTCTGTCTAATAACATGTCCAAAATCGGTGCCAGCACATAATCGCCATCGGGTACCGGAGGAAAAGACCTCATGGTTACATAGCTAATGACTTGGGGTGCTAGGCGAACGTACTTGACAGAACACAAACGTGATTAAGGTGTAGTTGGAGTGTCATAGCAACAAGGTAGGTCAAGCTGAAGCAAGCCTATTTCACAGTCAATTAAGGCAGAGTGCGCGGCAAGAAAGTCCATGCCCAGGATGAGTTCATGAGAGCACTTCTCGAGCACGGCGAAAACCACAGTTGTGGAGCAGTCAGCAACACTAACACGAGCGAAGCACATCCAAAGCACAGGAAAAGTTCCACCGTCAGCTACTTGGATGAGCGGCATTGTGGGCGGTGTTAAAACCTTTTTAAGGCAGCGGCAAAGCTCCGAGTTCATCACCGAAATGTGGGTCCTGTGTCTACAAGGCAACAACAAGTGCATCGTCTACTTTAACGTCTATGAGGTTGCGTCGTGTCGGCATAGTCGGAGTATTTGGCTGGTGAATCGTCGATGCAGCATCATCTCTGGGAGCTGCATCGTCTAGTTTTCCCGAGCCAGATGTGCAGTCGATGAAGAAGGATGGCGAAATTGGGGTGAGCGTGACGATTGGCGACGAGACAGCGCTGAGCGGGACTGGACGCCGGGAGGAGATGGTGACCGACAATGCAACGTCGACGAACCGTCACCACCGGCTGGCCGAGGTGACTCGTGGCGAGTTCCGAAGTGGCTATCATCTGCCTCTGTGCGACGGTTGTAGCCATAGGAAGGCTGACGCCAATACCACCTGCTATTGCAATAGCGGGCCACGTGACCAACACGATGGCAGTTAAAGCAAATGGGCCGGTCATCAGCAGTCCTCCACTCAGCGGGATTGCGAGAGCGCGCTGGGAGCCTCTGGTTTTCGGCGTAGGAAAGTGGCGGACGACGGTCATTCGGTCGAGAGGGGGGGGGGCGATGCACACAGATTCCAGGCCAACGTTCGAAAGCTCTTGACGAACGATGGCATGCACTAAAGGCACCATTTGCGAGCTGCACTCACAGGCACGAGAGAAAGTTGAAGGGGGAGACATAGCTTCAAGTTCTCGATGGATGATCTTCGTGACGTGCTCTGCAGTCAGCGGTGTCCGTGGTACAGGCATGTCTTCGCACGACCATGTTACTGCGGTGTTGGGAAGTCGAGCGAACTGATGGGAAATTTGTCGGCTTTTGGCGGCCTCAAAACACTGGCACTCTCGAATAATGGCATCTACTTGCAAATTAGCAAATTGAACGCGTCATCGGCAATGCCTTTTAATATGTGCGCTACCTTCTCGGACTCCTTCATGCCGTCGTCTGCTTTGTGGCAAAGGGCGAGCACGTCCTGTATGTAAGACAGCTACGACTCCGATGACGTTTGAGCGCGGGATGCCAGCTCCTTCTTGGCCGCTGTCTTCCTGCCAGTCAATTTGCCGAACAGTGAACGCATCTTTTCT